TTTTAGATTAATTAATATTAGTTAATTAAAGTATTTAATTTGTATTGTATAATAATAATAATAATAATAATAATAATAAACAATGTCATGATGTAAAGTTAATATTAGGATAGAATTTCATTTACTATGGTAGAATGGTAGATCAAATAACTTGACTAAAATTGCATTGCCTTAAAGCCATATAGGTGGGAATGTTGAAAGTTAATGTTTAGGTTAGATATTTGTATTATATATATTATATAAATTAGTATATATTAGTTAGTTAGTTACAATTTGAAAGAAAACTCACGTAAGTAGAAGAGCAAAATAACAGTGAGCAATTGTTGAAGAGTGAAATGAAGAGAGAGAAAGAAAGGAGCTTGGACAGGTGTAGGGAATTTACCCGACTACGCGTAGACCGACGGATTTATTTTAAATCCATAAGGCAAGTTATTATCTACTTTTCCCCTTTGAGTCCATAAATTATTCATTACATTTATTCGGCTATTTTTTTTTTAGGTTAGAAACCATGCTAGGACAATGATAAATTAAATATTTAATTTATTAAAATAATGTGATATTAAATATTTAAGGGTTAAATAATTTATTATTGGCCTAGGTAATTAATTGAATCTTAAGAATTGTTATTTAAGGCTTTAGAAATTTTTCTAGAATTTTTGGGCAATTTTCAGAATTTTTCTGTATTTTCCGGCGAGTTTTCCGGTCGCCGGCAATGGGGGAGATGACCGGAGTAATCCAGTGTGATACGGCGCACTATAGTTACTGTGCGCATGGATATCCGGCCGTTAGATGAGTAACTAATCAGCAGATTGATTCGGTGTAGTCCAATACACCATAGGATGGTGCGCGCGCGAACCAGGACCCTTGGATTAGAAGAACTAAGATAGAATTATCCAGTGTAGCGCGCCCACAACAAAGTCCATGCAACCACCGAATCAGGAGCCGCCGCGTCAGCAAGAAGCATTAGAGGGCGCGTGGGAGCGCGTGCGCACGCGTGGCAGGTTCTAGACGCGCGTGATGGCGCGTGTAGGCCCGTGCGCATGTGGGAATGAGTTGGCTGCGCGTGGGGAAGCTTAGGGCGGCGCGTGGGGGCGCGTGAAGGGCCCTTTCAGTTGCTGGAAATTACCAGACTACCCCTAGGGCCATTTTTGTGAATTTCAGAACCTTAAACCTTGTTTTTAGGGCCTGTGTTGATATTTACGGGTTTGACGGGCCACGAAATTATTATTTTATTACCCGTTAATTATTCTTATGGCCAATTAATCTTTTCTAAGCATTTATTGGCTCGTTTACAGTACGGATATGAATGTAATTTATTTAACGACATTGTTAAATATAGATGGTGTTATTTTATTAAATGGTATTAATCATTGCTTTTAAATTAAATAATGCCATGGTTTTAGTCATATAAATTACCCATTTTATATTATGGGATATTTATACTGTTAATCGTATATAAATCATGATTATTATGCTGTGTGCATTTCAGGGAATAAATGGACTGTTTATTATGTCGCATTTATATTATATGGATGTGTTGCCATATAGAACCATGTGAGCTGGCTAATAAGTTTAGACTCATTTATACCTTATACATTCGTTGCTACAGACAGATGTGTGGCTGTCGGGGTATGTGGTTTAATATTATTGGCATGTGTTGCCTAATTGATATACTTAGTATATTTATTCATATTATTGGCATGTGTTGCCTAATTAACATACTCAGTATATTTAGTATTATTATTGGCATGTATTGCCTAATTGTTATGCTCAGTAGCTCATTAGTACATTGAGATGCGTTATTACTGTGTAGTCTTTACAGTCTGTGTTTTCAGTACCGTGCACCATGTATAATAGCTGATTTCCCGGGTAGGGAAAGGAGACACTTAACCACCTAGTGTGAGTCTGAGTGATCACCGTCTATTCTAGTTGAGGTCATGTTATACATTAGATAGTTCCATTAGGATGTATATAGATATAGTACTCATCCGGATATAAATGATTAATTTATTTAATTCTCTGATTTGGGTCATAGTAGAGAGGACTTGCTCGTGGGGTTGACCCACCATTGTTGTTATTTCAGGATACGGTCAGTACCCGTTCCAAGGTTGAGGTTAGCAGTGTGGGACCACCATCGGAACTCATCTACTCTTACGATCCAGTTCAGGGTAGAAGTTTTATGTATTACTTCAGTTTCAGTTTTTATTTACTTTTGACGTTGAACTCTCAGGTTTATATTTAGGAATCCTTGACATAGGATTTCCAAGTTGTAATGGAGTACTGTAGTAAGTAAAGGATGGATGGATGTTGTATTATTTAGTATTCCTTTCCTGTCTAAATTCTTTTATTATTATTATTTTGTATTCCATGCTTGTATGTTGCCAATTGTTTTTGATATCCCTCGTTTTTCGTGTATAAGCCTGATCAACTTATGCGTGGAAAATGTGGGGGTGTCACACCCTACCTCAATTTGAGATGAAATCTCAAATCCCACAGAAAGGAAACCACTCCGAATCTGACGATACTCCTAGGTTATGTTGGGGACAACGAGGGAAGCAACTTTAACCTTTGAGGCACCATGAAAATCCAAACTCGAGCTCAAAACTCAAACTAAAAAAGGTCAAAAACGGATTTGATGAGCGCTAAAAAATGCGCATTTAAACCCCTTAAGCTTAGGTATTCTAGAACCTTTATTTATCTTACTTTCCCGTTTTAGACTAATTTCATATTATTGCCCTTTTTAGGTGCTTATCCCCAAAATAAGCTAATTCTACCAAATAAGAGCTTAAAAGAAGCTAACTTAAGATGGATGGAAGAAAGGAGCATAGTGGAAGCAGGTTGAAGTAAAGTGTGAAAATTTAGCAGGTTCGATCGATCTCAATAATACTTCGATCGATCGAAAGTCCATCGATTTAGACACTTCAAGTTGGATCCAAGCTCTTTTGTCCTAATCCAAAGACCCCACAAAGTTCGATCGATCCAACAATTCTCAGATCGATCGAAAAGATTCCATCTTATTATGTTATACCACACTACCTACCACTTTTGTCTCATTCCCCAAAATATCTCAGATATGTCCTTATCCAAAAAGGCGCCGCCATGGGAGGATCAATCTAGTCAAAGTTTGATAGATCTCAGCCATGTTCGATCGATCACAGCACAGGTTTGATCGATCGAACCCTCTTAAATCCGAAAAAAAAATATATCTCCAGCTCATTAAAAGTTATCTAATTGTGCAATCAGAGGAGCCCTTGTGTACGAGCCTAGACCATTGGGTGTGACATTTGAGCTACCTATATAAGGAATATGAGCCACTTTTACATAGATGCTTAGAAAAAAATAGTTTTTGATAGTCTTAGATACAACTCTTAGAGAGGAAGAAAAGAGAAGAGGAGGCTAGAGACATTCTTGAGAGGTTTTCCATCTTCCTCAAGAAGAAGAGCATTTCTACCATGGAGATAGCCTTTGAGGGTTGGAGGACACCATTCATGAGTGGCTAGACATCCTCTTGGGGCTAGAGTTAGCCCTAAGTACGCTTTCTTTACCTTGATTTATGTATTTTTGAGGGGATTTGTGTTGTAATACATGTTTTGACATATTTATATACATAGATATTGTTTATTCAATGATTTGTGTGGTTTAATTCTTCAAGGAAAAATCTTGAGAAATACATGGTCTCCTACCTCAAACGACAAGGATCTCCTCCTCCTGTCAGCACAACTCTTTTGTATGTTCTGAGTTGTAGCCAACTACTACTGAATCAACTTGATCTTCTTCGTAGTCTCAATGACTATGTTAGGACCCAAGGCAACTGTATCACCTACCTTGGTCCAAAAAATTGGAGATCTGCAAGACCTGCCATACAACACTTCATAAGGTGCCATGCTACTGGCTTGATAGTTATTGTTATAGGCAAACTCAACCAAAGGCAAGTAGTCCTCCCAACCACCCACAAAATCTAAGATTCAGGCTCGTAGCATATCCTCCAATATCTGAATAGTTCACTCTGACTGACCATCAGTCTGAGGATAGAATGCTGTGTTGAAGTGAAGCCCTATGTCAAGAGCCTCCTGAAAGCCCTGCCATAAGTGAGATGTGAACCTAGGATCCCTGTCTGAAACAATGGATACTGGAACCCTGTGAAGCCTGACAATCTGCCTCACATATAGTCCATTCAGTTTCTCTATTCCATCTATCATCGACATCGACAAGAAGTGAGCCGTCTTAGTCAATCTGTTAACATTGACCCAAACGGCATCATTCCTTGGATCTCGGAAGTCCCGTCACGAAATCCATAGTGATATGCTCCCACTTCCACTTTGCTACTGGTAGTGGTTCCAACAATCCTGCCGATCTCTGATGATCTGCCTTCACTTGCTGACAAGTAAGGCACTTAGCCAAGAACTGTGAAACATCACGCTTCATACCCTTCCACCAAAACTGTCTCCCTAAATTGTGATACATCTTCGTACCACTAGGATGAATGAGAATACAAGAATGGTGAAAATCCTGAAGAACATCATCACAACAAGACAGAGGAACAAACATCATGCCCCTAAACCTGAGACCACCATCTGAATGCAAGGTCGAACCCTCAACAACCTCACCACCAGAAATCCGTGCATGAATGGATTTCATCGCCTCATCCTCCTATTGTGCCTCAATAACCCTACTAATAAGAGCTGGTGTTGGGTAACCAGGCTAAACAAAGTAGCCAGAGAATCATCCTTACACAACTGCAATCTAAAATCTGCAAGCTCCTCTAGCATCCTTCTTCTGTGAGTGGAAATACTAGCCAGAGCCCCCCGTAACTTTCTGCTCTATGCATCAGCCACAACATTGGCCTTACCTAGATGGTACTGCAACTTAAAGTCATAGTTATCCATGAACTTAACCCATTTGTGCTATCTTAAGTTCAAATCCTTCTGAGAGAAAAGATACTTGAGACTCTTGTGATCGGAGAAAACTTCAAACTTCTCCCTGTACAAGTAATGTCCCCATCACTTCAGGGCAAAGACGACCGCTACCAACTCCAAATCATGTGTCAAATAGTTCAACTCGTGAGTTTTCAACTGTCTAGACCCATAAGTAACCATCCGCTGTCTGCATCAGAACACAACCCAAACCTTCCTGAGAAGCATCGTAAAAGACCACATGACACAAACCATGTTCAGGTATGATCAAAACTGGAGCCATTGTCAACCTGACCTTCAACTCCTAAAATGCCAACTCACAAGCCCCACTCCACACAAACTTGACCCCCTTGCAGGTAAGTCGAGTCATAGTTGCTGCTATGTGTGAGAAATCCGAAACAAATCTCCGGTAATAGCCTGTTGGGTCAAGAAAACTCTAAATCTTAAACATTCTCTTCGGACGCTCCCAATCCATCACAGACACAATCTTCAACGGGTCAACTACAACACCCCCCCCCCTGATACAACATGTCCAAGGAACTTCACCTCCGGTAGCCAAAATTCACATTTCTCGAACTTGGCATACAAGCAGTTATCCCAAAGGATCTGCAGTACTATCCTCAAATGATACTCATGTTCCTCTACCGTAGTTGAGTACACGAGAATGTCATCAACAAAGACCACGATAAACTGATCGAGGTGATCACTGAACAAACGGTTCATAAAATCCATAAAAGTTGCTAGAGCATTGGTCAAACCAAATGGCATCACTAAGAACTTATATTGGCCATACCATGTACGAAAAGCAGTCATGGATATATCCTCATCCTTGACCCTCAACTGATAATATCCCAACCTCAAATTAATTTTTGAGAAACAAGTGGCCCCCTTCAGCTGATCAAACAGGTCATCAATTCTAGGCAAAGGATACTTGTTCTTGATCGTAGCATGATTCAACTTGCGATAATCAATGCAAAGTCTCAAAGACCTATCCTTCTTCTTCATAAAGAGAATCGGTGCCCCCCATGGTGAAGCACTAGGGCGAATGAAACCCTTGGCTTTCAAATCATCCAACTGAGCCTTCAACTTATCCAGCTCTGCCGGTGCCATACGGTACGGTGCCATAGAGATGGGCGTAGTATCGGGAATGACATCAATGGCGAAAATAACTTCCCGTAAAGGAGGTAACTCTGTCAGCTTTGATGCGACCGAGCGTGTGCATAAAAAAATGCACAACACTTTAGGTTTAGAAATAATGTCAAGTGGGCATCATATTTATAATTTATAAAACCACTAAACACTTATACTATGGAGTATGAAGCGAGTAGGGATCGTCCCAAGAGATCTAAACAAATATTAGTTTTTAGATTTGAATTCTACTTTGTTGCTTATGTGATTGTTAAAGAGATATTTGTTTTGTGATTAGAACTAATTTTAATCTAAATATTGTAATAAAATAATAGAGTTTAAAAGATTAGGAAAGAGACTTAGGGCTTAGGATTCACCACTAAGCAGATTCCCTAACTCACTAACTTTCAACTAATTGGGGAAATAATAATGTGTAATCAAAATGTGGCTAACAATTGCAATGAAAAGTGTAAACTATCAATTTCAATCATGAATCAACTACTTAATGAAACTTAAACTAAGTCTAGTGCAATTCACCAATTCAAAGTATGATTCATCAGTTCAAGTTACAATTTCAATACACATTAATCTAGAGGATAATGCAATTATGACAATAAGCATGAAATTCAAACACAAGTATGGATGGTCTACTTACCTAATAAGTAAATTGCAATTAAACTAATAAAACTTAAATTAAACTAATTAAACATGAACTTAAAATTAATTAGACAATGAATTAACCTAATTGTGTAGTGCCATCCATCAAGTAGAAGTATTTTCCATCAAATTGAAACCTAATTACATCTAATTAATACAATGCATAGCCATCACAAGAATCAATTAACGAAGAATTCAAGTGTAGAAATTAATTATCATTTAAACACATATAAGACAATATGAGATTGACATAGATAATCAAATGAAAGAATTAATTTATATATTTCAAGGCTATAACATAAATTACACAAATTAATCCCTAAAAGTCAAGAGTTAAGAATTTGGTTACATGCTTAGGGTTTATCCAACCCTAAGTTGAAGAATCAGCCACTCATGGTTGATAGGCGCAAAATGTCAACAAGTTCCATCAGTTGCTCCATCATCTCTGAGCTTCTTCTCAAAACCCTAGCCTGTTCTTGCTTTTTCTCCTCTTTCGCCTTTTTCCAGAGAGAACGATAATAATCCTTACAAAATATCAAAACTTTCTTAAATAAAATAATAACTAACCCTAAACTAATAGTTCACTGGGCCCTTAAGTAACAAGCCTATTAGAGCCAAATAGGTTACAAAATAAGCCCAAATAATAAAATTCCATAGCCATCAAAACAGGTCAAACCCGTAACTTAAATTGCTGCTAGTAAGCATGGCATCTGGACAAAGTGTATGGAAGGCTTGCGTTCGGATGCAAGGAATGGCATCCGGACACAATGTAGTATAAACTTGCATCCGGATGCAGGATGTGGCGTCCAGACGCAATACAATCTCTGTTGCATTTTTCTGCTTCCTTCTGAATCTTGTCCTGTTGCTCTAACTTAACTCCAAAACGATATTAGACTGTTTTTAGCTCATTTTAACTTTATTGCCCTGAAATACACATAAACATAAATTAGGACTAAAACATAAAATAAGATAGATGCAAGGACTGAAATACCCTAGCTTAGGTGCTGAAATGTGCAACATTTAAGCACTTATCACGCCCCCAAACTTAGATATTGCTAGTCCCTAGCAATGAACTATAGTATGAAAATGAAACAAACATATATACAACTATGAACTAATAAAGTAAATAAAGATGACACCATATTCGTAGGTATCACGGTTGCATTTAGCATATGCAACGAGCCTTTTAAAACCCCTAGGTTACCCCTAGTGGACGAGTGAAGTCTCATGAAGGTTTCCAGAAATGGTACCCACAAACATCAACAGCTCTTTCTTACTTGAGAAGCAACGACACATATCAAACAAGTGTTAAAAGTAGACTACTTCAAGTATGCAAATTTCTGCCATTTTTAAGCTATTCTCAACATTTCAACATCATGTAAGCAAAAATGGTCCTCCACACATCAAGCAAGTTAGTCATGCAAATTGAATCAATTATATCATTCTTTTTAAGTGAACTGGCATCAAAATGTGTTGTTATCTTAGCAAATCAAAATCATAGCATAGCCTTACCCTCAAACTAGCATACAGATATAATACCAATCCTCAAGACATTGAATGAACCTTGTTATTCAATCACACATTATTTTTTTTCCTTAATTGATTTTTTTTTTTTTTTCTTTTCTCACCTTTGGCGAGTGATTTTTCTCACCTTTGGTGAGTGCTTTTATTTCTTTTCTTTGTTAGGTCATTTTATTAAGAATGAAAACTTTCAAAGCATAATAAATCATGGATAAACCAAGACAATAATCAACTAAGCATGTACCCCACAAATTGAATGCTAGTATGCAAAAGTGCAAATGTAGAATTCTAGAATCAACTCTCAAAGCATTTTCAACCAACAACATGATGTGTACCACAAGAACAAACAAGATATCAAAAATTAAAATTTACCCCTAAATGGCATCCTAGAGCATACAAGAAGTATTAGACTCTAACAACTTGCTATTTAAAGGCACTATACTTAAAAAGTTCGAATTCATTGCTAAATATATCTTAAATCTCAATCATGCATTAAAAATTCAACTTAAGGTAAAATATACAAGACTACCTTACCCCCAAACTTAAACTGTACATTGTCCTCAATGTGCAAAGAGAACAATGAAAAATGATGGAAAAAGTATACCGTGATGGCAAAAGTCTATGAAGCCCGGCAATGATCCATTATAAAAGAGGTCGCCCCCAAACTTGGTTTCAAAAACCCACTGAAAAGCCACACTAGCAACTCACATCAAATATCAAATGTGATAAGAATCATACATTCCAAAATAATATAGAACATGATGCAAAGAGATATGAGATGAAACCTGGTCAGTCGATATGTTTACCAATTATAATCAACACTTGCAATAGCACAAAACATTGTAAAATAGTACTATGGTAAGGGTAAGTCGAACCACAGGGATTGCTAGCTTATGGCAACCAAGGTCTTAAAATCACTTGTTTGAGAGAGGAGGTACAAGATTTTGTTTGTTTGTCACTTAGAACTAGGAAATGAAAATTACATAAAACAATAAATAGAAGGAATTTAAGAGGAGAGGAACTTATGTAGAGAGGGCTAGGGAAGTGAATCCACCACCAACCATATAAACATGCTAGGTTGTGATTAACTTAGGAAACTACTAATGGATATGACACTGAAATGTAGTAATACAAGATTGTTACATTATCTTCAATAAATTCATGAAATCAAGAAGCAAGTATAATCTATCAAAGTTTTACATGCTTGAACTACCTAGACTTGGGTGTAGCCTTTGACATGCTCACTAAGCTAGAGACTATCAAACTCCTCAATCAAATGATAATAGTACATAAAGTCAAAAACTAAGAATAATCCATTAAAGGGAGGCCCTAAGCTACGGACTATCAAACTTCTCATACAACATGCCATTAAACACCATTTCATAATCTCATCTCCATTCTCACTATGAAAATGTAAGTCATACAATCATGAGAAAATATAATCTAAGATAAGATAATAGATTCAACATAATTATTTATAGAAATAAAGATCCATTACAACATGTGTAGTGCTCTAGATTATGAAACTACCATAAACATGATTCATTCCCCAAATTAAAAACAAAACTAGAGCATGCTTATAAAGAAGGGCTTCATCACCTCCCTAGAAAGGGAGTTAGTTAACCATAGAAACAAGGGAGGAAAAGGTTAAAGCACACCTCCTTCCCATTTTCATACCCTCAGCCAAAAATAACTAAAATCTCAAGAACAAAATATTTCTCTCTCTAGAATGATCCTCTAACCACTCATTCTTTGATTTACAATGATTAACCCTCCTCATATAGACAAGATGTCTACCAAACCACCCAAAAACTGAGGTCCATGTCCCCCAAAAATATTTTACCAACCACCTAATTAGGGAGGGAATCTAATTGAAAGGATCAAAAAGCCAGCTGGGTCTGCAGTGCTTAGACGAGCGCTCGTCTAAGCCTTAGAATTCTTCTCATTGGTCCAGAGTCACAAGGACGAGCGCTCGTAAGTACCCTTTTTCTTTCTGCCTCGAATTAAAGTGCTCGTCTGACATGGTGCGCGCGCCACGTGCTTATAGATGCTGAACGAGCACTCGTAGGTCGCTGGATAAGCACTCATCCATGCCTTAGAAGTTATTTCCTTTTCTCCTGCTTTGAACTTCTTTTACTTCTTTCATTTCTTCAAGCTTTTGATCTTCTTTTATCTTGATCTTGATTTTGGGTCATTAAGCCCATCTTCTGCCCTTTGCTTTGTAGAGAGTCTTTAAGAACAGAATTCAGTAATTTCTTCTTGGAAATCATAGGACGTAGGCTTGGAATGACTTGATCATCAAAAAGCCTTTAAAGCTTCCATTTTATTTCCTTTTGAGAGATAAACCTGAAAATACACGGAAACACGGAGCTGGAGATAATCTGTACAATAAAACCAACTAATGGACTTAACTAATGCAAATAAGGGCACTTGAATATGCAATATTCGGCGCTTATCAAAACCTTTGATGAGAATGAAAAATTGCAAAACTATGCAAAAGGGCACAATAGAAAAATAATTTTTTTTTTATTTTTTATTTTTGTTAATATGCAAAGAAAAAGGTTATTGTATATACAACCTACAAAATGAAAAATCAAATGGGCTAAGTTTAACGTCTCTAGCAAGACGAAATGCTACTAAAAAAAAAAAATCAAATGTGAAGCATTTTAGCACCTAAGCTAGAGTATTTTAGCCCATTCATCTATCTTACTTTCATGTCTTAGTACTTATTTATGTTTTTGCCTATTTCAGGTCAATAAAGTTCAAACAGGCTAATAAGAGCCATTTAGCTTAATTTTGGAGAT